GGGCTGGGCAGCATCCTCATGGTGGACAGAGCAGAATTAGAAAGCCCTCTTTACAGCATAACCATCCTCCCCTCAGAACAGTACAGGGTGTATTCCTTTTCCTGTCTGCAACAAAGGCAGTCCTCTTCTTCCCTCTCCATCTATGGCAGGCCTACCTCACTGCTCCTAAGAGTTCTGTATGCTCCTAACCAACTTTGACCACTGCCACTACCACCAATTTTCTACCCACGAGTGCCATAGACCCTGGAAATCTATCCACAAAGACCCAGTTCAGGGCTTGAGCTCAAAGAGTTTTTCCAAGAGCCTCAACAGAGGTCTTGGAACCCCAGGTCAAAGTGTGCTCATAGTGGTTTTTGAGAACATCTCCCCTGCAGGCTGACAGCTGCTCTTCCCCTCAGCCTGAGGAGCAAGTGGCCTCAACACACAGCTATGTATGTCATGGTCGTATGGAGTGGGGGTGGGGGGATTTAGCAAATGAGCTTGAAAGCATGTAGCGTGAGGTGGGGTGTCAAGGGTTGAGATGTCCCCTGCCACATATAAGACACCTGTGAGAGCTCAAGTGGGTCACTTTAGGTTTCTAAGCCTTCATTTTGTCATCTATAAAAAGGAGCTAGTGCAAAGCCACATCACGAGTGCAGTAAGACTGGAAAGGAGCAGAGCTGTGCTGAGCGGTAACTCCTGCCAAAGAGGCTCCAGTGCACAGATCTGATGTCAGTTTTTCAAGGAATGGATTCTGGGACTCACTGAGTTTCTCTGTGATGGCAGAACAGTGGCATGGAGCAGTGACACAGGAAGGCAAGAAAATTCCTGCTCCAAGAGGGTGTCAGGTATGACTCCAGTATTTGTGGACACCCCTTCCCAACTGTGGAATTACATACACGAGCCCCTCCCCAGAGCAAGACCCCGACAAGGGTCTGTCCATAATACAGCAAGCTCCCATATGTATATGCCACACACATACACATGCCATATGGCTATAATTAAGCCATAGCAAAGCATTTTACCTCATTTAATCCTAGAAACATCCTTACCCATTTGACATATGAGTAAAACTGAGGCTCAGAGAGGTTAAGTACATGTTCAATGTTGCTCTACTAGTAGGCACATTCATCTGAAAGTGTGTTTTCCTGGCATAACTGTCCCAGAGTGTATTGATATGTTTTCCAAATTTGGTGGGTATGTGCCAAGAATGGAGGTGATCTCCCAAGTCCTATTAACTGTTGGAATTGTAAAAAGGGGGCACCGCAGCCTTGACATTCCCCAGGAGCTCCAATGACTGGAGTAGCCAGGAAGACTTCAAGACAGAGGTGAGGCCTGGTGTCTGACCTTGAAGGATAGCTAGACTGTACTTGTCAGGATGGTCCAAAGAGGATTTTCAGGCAGAAGTCACAGCAATGACAAAGATTCAGAAGTAGAATCCAGCTAAGCCAGGCTGGTCAAGAGACCATGAGAAGCCTATAGCAACTGCAGAAAAGCTTTCTGGGAGCAGCATCCACTATTCCAGGTAAAAATTTGCTGATCTCAGGGGAAGCTGAGGGAATTAGGAGGTGGGACCTGATGTGTGGCTCTTCCTCAAGTTACCCCATTCTCCACGTGCCCATTCCCCGCGGCATCAGTGGAGAGCAATGGGTCTTTCTGCACACTCCCTGCTAAAAGCCTTTCTGCACTGGCTTGGCCTGCACCGAAGAGAGGCTGCCAAGAGGGGCAGAAGAGGTATGGCTGATGGTCCCTGTGGAACTATGTCTGGGGAAAACAACAACGGAGATCAGAACATGGCCCTCTACCAGGGGCAGGCCCTACCCTGCTGGGCACTCCTCCCCGCCAAGACAGCCCAGCTAGCTCAGGGCTCAGACCATTCAGACAACTGACAGATCTCACCTTCAAGCAAAGGGGTGGACACATCTGAGTGTTAAATGTGTTGAAAGATAAAGGTAACAATATAGCTATTTTGTGATTAAAGTAAAATTTGGTCAGTAATAGAGATAGCCCCTGGTTTGTCGGATACAAACCAGTAGTAGTATAATTAGTTTGGTCAGAATACAGAGATCCTTGAATCCCATGTTAGTTACAATAGGGACAGAGATGGAGGGGCTGGTGTGATGGGGCTGGAGTGGTGTGTATGGGGCATGGAGGACATGACTCTAGCCACAACATGTGTGGGTTTGGCAGCAAAACAGGAAGAGATGGCTTTACAGAGTCACAGGTTGGAGGGAGAGGGTCTGTTTTTGACTGTGATGTGACTGTAGGGGGGACTTGAGCAGCAGGGATAGACCCCCAGGCTGAGAATATCTCAATAGCCTCAGTCTTCCCTCCTGAGCCTCCTCCCCTTTCCTGACGCATCCAAATGCCCTCAGCTACATCACCTTCCCCATGGTGACCACTCTCAAGCCAAGAATATGTGTTAGGGGAGGGGGAACCCAGCCAGGTCAACTGAGACCAGGGTGGGTGTAGAGTGGGCGATGGAAAGAGGACCTCATCATTCTGCCCATGTTCCTGTCGGGGAGCAGCTCTGCAGGCCCCAGAAGCTGGGCTGCTGGATGGATAGCCACTGAGGAACCTCAGGGATGGGTCCAGGTGCTGGACAGCCTCTCCCAGAGCAACCACAGCGACCCCTATTTCAGGAGTTTGCTCCAAGGCAGTGTTCTCACTGTAGTTCTGTTTCCCCAGAAACCACTGTACTAGTCAATGTCTGAGAATGTTCCAGGTTGTCACAACTGGGGAATAGGTACTACTGGCATCTAGTAGTAGAGGCCAGGGAGACTACTAAACATCTCACAATGCACAGGATTGCCCCCACGATGAAAAATTACCAGTGGTCTGAGGGTGAGAGATCTCACTCCAAAGACTTTGTATTTAGACACAACAGAAAGCTAGGAGGCCCCACACAGTCTTCCGAGAATCCTGGCTGGCACAGTCCAAGGTCAACATTTCCTTCCCACCAGGCATCTCTGGGAGAGGGCAGAGTTCCCAGGGGTGACCCACTCTAGCAGGGGAATAGGGCTTGGGGAAGGGGGATTCAAGTGTAGGGAAAAGGGACTGCAGCTTCTTACCACCCCACCCCCTACCAGTCAGCCCCATCCCACAGGGACGTACTGCACAGGGGCTTATGTTGGTTTCTGTACCTTAGACACTCGGACCTTTGAAAGAGTTAGACAACACTGTCCCAGTGTTGGGGGTCAGTTGCGGGGATTCTGGGACCTAAGCGCCAGCTGCCTTGGCAATCTCCAAGACCTCAGGAGCTTCATGTCATCCATAGTTCCCTCTTCCCCATGCATACAGAGAGCAAATCTTAGCCAGACTCCCAAGGGGGTGTGTGTGTGTGTGTGTGCGCGCGCACACACACACACACACACACACACACATGCATACAGATGGGACAGGGCTCACTGTAGCAGAGAGTAACCTGCCTTGGGATTCACATACCTCCACCTGTCTGTCCTGAGCTCAGCTCCTAGGGACTCCAGTTCAACCTTATTGGAAACCAGTGATCAACCCTTTGAGCAGGTGCCCGGTGGGTGAGGGGGTGGTGGTGATGCAATGAGGCAACAGCCTTCATGTAAGACTAAACTGTGAGCCTCAGGTATTGCAGGAAGACCTTCAGAGTATGAGTATGGCCGTGAGATCCTCTCACTCCCAACTCCATCACTAACTTGTCATCCCACCATTCCCTTTTCTTACCCTTAATATAAGGTAAGAATGAAAACTATCATTTGAAGACCACTTACTGTGTACCAGGCACCTTAAATGCATTCTCACTACAGTCCTGTGAGAGTTTTCATCAACCCAGTGCCATGGGTGAGAAAATGGAGGAGAAATGGCTGGTCCAAGGTCACATGGCCAACATATAGCACAGCTGGTACTAGAATGCACCCTGTGTGATGCAGGCTGCTCCAAAGAGAAGGCTGGAGCTTTCCAGGCTCATGCTGCAAGGTGGGCTCAGTATACCGCAGTGTGGGGAGGGGTCCCAAAGCAAACGCCTTCCTGTGGGGCATTAATTAATGGTGGAAACTTGAACTGAGGGACTGCCCTCAGCAGGGTAGACCTACAGTGCCTGGGGCTATCTAGCAGATGCCATGTAAACACTCCTGAGACCTCTAGCCAAAATCTGCTGCTGTGCGAGGGGGGGTGGGGGGCAGGACAGGCCCAGCTAAAAATAGGCATCGTTCTCAGGTCCAACTCCCTGACAGCACCCGGCAGCTCCCTGTGCCCCAGCCTGCCCCTCTTTCCCTCCACCCTTTCCCCAGAGCAGGAGCCAGGCTTCTAGAAGGGACAGAGATTTTACGATTTTCATTTCAGGCTAAAGAGGATTGTTAGCTTAATGCACAGCAGGCGTGTTTCAAGTTCGGCAGGGGCCATCATTGGGAGCGGTCCTGACACCAACAGTCCACCCAGCTAGCTCTGAAAGAGAGAGCTGTCAACCTCCAAAACCAACCCGGGGAATAAGTGAGGCCAAGGCGAAAGCCCTGCCAGTATCTGCACATCTTGCCATTCAATCCGGGCCCTTCCTTATCCCTTCCTTATCTCAATGCTGACAGCACCATGCAATTTCTGTATTTGCCGGAGACTTCTCAGAAGCACTCTCGGGAACCTCTAGAGATCTTGGAGATGAGGCAGTGCTCAGCCAGTGGGAACACAGGCCTAGAGCTCAGCATCGAAGTTTCGAGTGCACCGGCGGAGTTAGGGAGTGGGGAAGGAAGGAGGCTCTGGAACAGGCCGCCTCTGCCGTTGCCTCCACGGTGCAGGTCAGGGCTCGGCCGGGGATTTCCTTTCAAAGGTGACTTAGAGCCGCTTCATTAGGGTAGCGCCCTCTCGGGCGGGCCTTAATGGCATGTTTGGCAGAGTCAGCGAAACGCGGCGCCCAGAGGCTCCGGCGGCGGGGGAGCGCCCTCTCCCGCGCCCTCGCCCTCTCCGGCGCGGGGCAGCGGCGCGCAGGGGGCCATTTGCAGCGCAAGCAGCCTACCGAGCGGCCGCAGCGCCCTAGTCGGGAGGGAGGCGGCACCATGGAGTTGAAGAAGGACATCAACGCGGTGTCTATCGACATGCTGCTGATCGTGCACTCGGAGAAGCGGCGCGCCGCACAGAGTACGCACTCAGACCAGCAGGCGGACCCGGGCACGCTGCTGCAGCGCCGCGGAGGTAACGCGCGCCTGGCCTAAGCCCCGGGCCCCGACCACTTCGGCCGCCTAGCCCTTCTCGTCCTAGGGCCCGCCCGCCGGGGGGCGCCCCACGCAACCCCAGTCGAGGTCAGCGAGCCTAACCCCTCTTCCCCACCGCCAACTTCGCCTCCGTGCGGTGGCACCGGCGTCCCGTGGTAACACGCAGTCCCGTGGCAACGCGCAGCCTGGCGATTGCCCTAAACTGACTCCCGGTGCAAGCCGGTGGGTGCTTCAGTCCCCCCGGGGGAGCCTGTTTTCTCACAGCCACTCCCTGAAGGGCACAGATCAGGGTTGGGAGATGCCCTGAAAGGAGCGGGCCAGAACCTCAGGCCTGCTCCCACCCCCATAGCACTCTGCAGGGCACCGGGGACACTGGGAAACCCCTTTTTGAGTCCGACTTTGAGATGAGGCGCTCCCCTAGTGGCCTTGTACAATTTCCAACCTCAGTTTCCCGTCTATTGAGCCTCTCTCCCGGCTTCCTACAGAGAGAAGGCACAAAAGGGGTAAAAGGAACACAGGCTTGTGTAGGGCAAGGTTTAAAATCTGCTCTCCCCACTTGCGCTTATCCATCAGTTGCACTTGTCCTGCCGACTTCCTGGTAAAGGGTAGATTGGCAAATAAGGAGACTGTTTATAAAGTGATCGTGGAAAGCAGGACCCAGGTTCTGTGTTCTCTAGACAAGATGACAGGACACAGTAAGAAGTACAGAGTACAGATGGATAATAGTGGGACCTAAATAAGCCCCTGAGAAGTCTGGGAACCGCGAGTCCTGGGTCCAGAGCCTTTTTGGAGGCTGGTGTATGGGTGATCGTGTGCCAGCGCTTAGGAGCTATGCTTGATAGCTTATGTGGGAAGATGAATTTTGTCTCCTACCTCTTCTCCTGCTCTTGAGCTCCTTTGAGTTCCTGCTGCTACTCTGTCGCTGGCTCTTCTGTCCCCAAAGACTCTGTGCAGGTTGAACATCCACCTTCCATGTGCCTTGCTAAAGCAGTGGTGCTGTGGATGGCCTTGCCTCCTCCAGCCGCCTCCAAAGCACCTGGAGACCTCTTAGGGAGGTAGGCCAGGGAAAGTTAAATAGATTCTGGAGGGCTATGTTGACAGGTGCTCCAGTATCAGGAAGATTTGGGAGCCTGGAATTGTTTGAGATAAGTGTTCTTTAGTTCTTACAGCTGATCCTGGGAGAAGGGGAAATGGCCCACCCAGGGTAAATGTCCTTAGAAAATCAGCAGAGGTCATCAGCTTCTCCATAGAAATGAGATCCCCCTGTGTGGTGAGGCCCAGTAATAGGTCAGCCAATGAGTCCCCATCTCTCCAGGCACCTCTCAGCCCATCTTTGCTAAAAGCTCTGACACTAGAGAGGGCAAAACAAATGCAGAGGAGCCCAGGAAATGCTAGGTACTGAGACTGCCTTGAGACGTGTCTGACACCTAGCACAGACCCCTTCCCCCAAAACTCAAGACCACTTACCGCCATGCCTCAGGGGAAGAAAGACTCCTACTTGCTGGGCCCTTTCTGCTGGCATTTTTCTGTAAATATTATCCCAATGGAAGTTTCTCACAGATGCCATGAAGGACAGCAGAGAGACCTGCGTCACTTATTCACAATCAGTTCTGCATTAGAGCAGAGGGAATGTGAATGGCTTCTGATGGCTGCTGGGCAGTGATGATAACCAGATGACCCCAGGCCGAGCTGGCTTGCAGACCCACTCCTCCAGACACAGACTAAGGGAGGAAAATGCTAAAAAGGACTAACTTGTTCCAAGGCCCCTCTTTGGTGCAAAGACCCACAGCAAACCCACACCCACTTTCAGACACCTCCTCCTGTCTCCTCTGTGTTTCAGCTTCTTCACTGGGGAGCAGATCTTCCTTGGCTCTGCAAAGGGGGCCCTGTGCTCCATGTCCCAAAATGTCAAAACTCGGTTACTGTCCCAATGCAGAGGACAGAGTGAAGCTGTAACCAGGTGGCTTTTGCTGCTATGGCTTGGAGGCAGAAAAGAATCAGAGGGACAAAAGGCAAGGAGAGTATGGACAGGCTAAGCCCCCAGGGATTTGGGCTGCAAGGCCAGCAGATTTTCTCTCTCATTTCTCTAGGGCCCTAGCATCTGCCAACCATTTCCTTAGAGCAGTGCTTCTCAAAAATGTGCCCAGAAGCCTCAACTCCTGTCAGAGAAGAAAGTGCATGTATTCATGTAGCAGTGGAGGAGGTACCCCAAATCTACCTGCAGCTACTCTGAAGGAGCTTCAAAGCCTTAGGTTTTATACCAAAAGTCTATGTGATTTGTGTATTCCACTGCATGAGTGTGTCACTCAGAGTCCCAAGTGGTAAGCCACAGACACTGACTTTGGAGGACTCTGCAGAAAAGAAGAGAGTGGGGATGTCTATATAATTGAAAGGGCTGAGAACTGGACTTGAGGCTCACATTCCAGGAACAGCACCACAGAGCTCATCTGGTGAGGAAACCCCTGCAGCCACCGAGGAGCACTAGACGCTCTTTCTGTGCCAGGAACTCAATTTTATTGCAGCAGCTCCTGCTGCCAGAATGTATACTATTGCTGTGCCAGGAACTTGACCTTGCAGCTACCGCTTACAGCCACCGCCAGAGCGAGCGCTTCCTTTCCCTTCCTGTTGCATCACCAGGTCTCCAGACAGAATAGGACACAGGTGCATCTGATTGGCCACAGCTGGGCCACATGTGTCCATGTTCAAGCTGCAAGGGAGGCTGGGAGAGCAGGCAACTGTAGCTTCCCATCCCCATAGGGATAGGCAGTATTTACCCACCCCCACCCAATGTCTACACTCTAGCAGTTGGGGACTCACCATCTACAGAAATAGGCAGGCAAAATGGATAGCACACATCTTCTAAAATAGTGCTTTTATATTTATGTGGTGGAGATGTGAAAGTGGAAAATCTGCATCAGAGATTCTGAAATTCTAGACATCAGAAATTCTGAATTCTAGACATCAGAAATTTTCCCTGAATGACTGTGATAATGAGTCTCACCACTCTTGAAAACTGTTTTGACATTTTTTAGTGCTTTGAATTTTGAGGGTTGCTTTCATTCCCCAAACTGCATCTCATTCATGGGCAGCCTCTCTCAGATCCCAAGACAGCCAAGCACCACCTGCCCTATTTTAACACAGATCAGTCTGCAGTTGGTACACTCACTTGCCCAGGGTCTCCCCCTCAGAGAACATTGTTGTTTCACAGGATTCCAAGGTGTTGGAAATGGAGTCCGAAGATGGCAGAAATTAGAAGGAAATGACCTCCATGGTAAATTCTCTTTTTCTTTTTATTTTTTCTTCAGTCTCTAGGATTCAGTATGTTGAATAATAATCAGAAGGACTGGGTTTCACTCATTTGAAGACTGGCCCATAGACTGGCCGACTGAGCAGAAAGTGGCTGCTCCTGGTCTAGCCAGGCCTCTAGGTCCACTGTGACCATGGGAAGTGTCTCCTGGTATCAGGTCTGTCGGTCTCTGGAGGCTGTATCTGAAGAGCAATACCTTGAATTTGGTCACCCACTTGGTTGCTGGCTGAACTATAGGGGAGGACTTGGCAATACTTGGGATGGTGAGGTTTGAATGTGCTTCTATGGGAGGTAGGGCCTCTCATGTCATGCAAGCCACCCATCTTTTGGAAATGTTTCCCAATAGAGGGAACAGTGGTCTGCCTTGGGACAGCATTACATGAGGCCTGGGGAGACATCACTCAAGGGTTTTATAGCTCCCTACTGGCTGGAAATCAAGAAGTCAGCTTTCAAAGCCTCTTCTCTCTGGTGCCAGGTGTCTGTGGCCCCTGCAGCCCAGAATCTCTCAGGGAATGTTATGGATGGGTCACCTATGATGGCCCTTATTCTGTGCCCTTCAGAGATTCAGTAGCCCAGCCTCCAGAGACAGACTTCTGTGACAGTGCACAGTGGCATGTGGGAATTGTAATAACAATCAGACCTCTACTCCAGAGCCCCTAGAGGGGGCTTCAAGAGACCCCAGCCCTGTGAGCCCTGGGATCAGACAACTGGCTCTTCAAATGTAAGTCTAAAGGAACCACCCTCCATGACCCTCCCCAAGTGGGGAAACAGGACAGCAAATGAGTAAGACTGAATAGCTATGCTCTGCCATCCTTCTAACAGTAATGAAGGAAGGACAAAGTTCTAAGAGTAAATTCAGTCACTCATCCCCTCAACCAATGTCTGTAGCACTTTATGCCAGGCACAATTCTAAATGTTGGGGATGAAACAGTAGACTAAGACAGCCAACAATGCTGCCTTCAAGGGGCTTCGTTAAAATAATTGGAACTTATATTCACTGCAGCTGAGTCTCCACATGCTGGAGGTGAAGAGCTTTCCTCTGCCTCCTGCCTTGCGCATGGGTAGGGGTCACCCCTGAGACATGCCAGGAGAGCCACCCCTCTGTGTCCTAGTAGATGGTGTGTGGGGGTTCAATGGTTTCCTTAACCTTGCTAGTGGGGCCAAGAGAAAGTAGTCATGGCAGGCTTAGCTCCACTGAAGTAGATGCCTGAGCTAGCATCTGCATGGGGTAGTGAATCAGACCTCCAGAGAGCTGTCGACCACAAAAGTGAGCATGCAGGGCATGCCTTCTAGGCCTGTGCTGCGTGGGAGCAAAGAGACACAGCATCTTTGTTTACTGTAGCTCTCTCTTACCTTGCGGGGGATGTCTGATATCATCTTTGGGCTTCTCAGGAATGGTTATTCCATCAGGAGAGGATTAAAATATACTGAATTCATCCTATTTTTACCATCTTCCAGGCTTCTGATTTGGGAGAGGATTAGTTGAAAAAATACAACACAACACAGTGACTATCACAAGACTCTTGTAAAAGACATGAAGTGAGTCTTAGTACCATGTGTCAGCTAATAGAGGACTATTAAAGTAGTTGTTGCAAAACTGCTATGAGAACTGGAGAGAGGTTCTACAGAGGACTTGAGTCCATAAAACATGATGGTTCTGCCACTACACCAATATGTGTTAAGCAGAATTTTATTTATTTTTCAAATGGCACATTTACATGCATGCAGAAATTGAAATGATAGCTTCTTTCTATGTTTTCTGATGTTGAGATTATGGGTACATGTTTGGAAGCTGACTTTTCCTCATACCTGCCTTGTTGGTGTCCAAGGCACCCAGCCATGGTAACCAGCAGGCCGCCCAGCCCTGGTAACTGGATGCTTTCATCTGAGAAGGAAGCAGCTGATGGCATGTGCTGGTGGCGTGTGCACAAACGAGGCTGAACATGGGGCTGATCCAAAAGGGCACATGTTCCCCCTCTAGCTGCCCTGTGCACTGCTCGGGTTGGGGCATTGGCCGGGTAGGGGTAGCCTGGAGTGTTCCAAACTCTTTCAGGCAGCAGGTGTTTGGGCTGAGCCAACCATCCCACCCCACCCCACCTCCCACCCCCATAGCTTGCCCAGCAACGGGCCTCCCCTGCTGTGATTGGCTGCTTTCCTTAGTCCTGGCTGAAGTCTGCCTAGCAGCACAGGGACTGACACCCCACAGCTACAGGGATACCAACTGCGCAGCCCCGACTATAAATACCCCACAGCAGCTATGCCAGCCAATCACCCTCCTGGAGGATTCCCTTCCCAGATCCTGTTTCCTCCCTCAGTCAGCTGAGATGCTGCCAGCTGTGACCGCAGGAGGCAGCCTCCCTGCCCTCACCTGAGTCTGGCCTGGGTCTCCAGCCCAGCATACCATATTACTCTCTGTTGGCACATACCATGGACCTGGCCCTTGGCTGACTAACAGGGGGTGCAGGGCTCTGACTGGGCCTGTTCATAGAAGGCGAGAGCAGGCAGGCTTTTCTAGGTCAAGACCCTGACAGATGGATTCCCTAGTCAAGACCAGCTAGCTCAGTGCCCCACTCATCCACATTGATTGGCTTCTGCTTGGGCCAAGGCATGGGGAGCACTGAGTGGCCATCTAGTTGGGTACACATGGAGTCATCTGATGGAACCTGTTCAGGACAATACCCCAGAGGCATGCTTGTTCCCAGACCAAGGCACTGGTCCCAGTGGTCACTTCCAGTGGCAAGTGCAGTGCAGACCAGAGGAATGCCAGAGGAAGATGATGGCAGGCAAGGGTGGTGATGGTGGGGGAACCTTTGGTGAACTACCTTGGCCAGCCCTTTCCCTTTTCCTCTGAAGCAGAGGTTCAAGGGCAGCCTCAGTAAGACCAGGCCACAGCCTGAACTGTAAAGAGGGGATGCAAAAATGGTCACGCTTCCTACGGGAGGGGCAGGTTAGTCTATGCCATGAATTAATTATCTCTCCATCACAGCCTGACCGCCCTGGGCTCTGAGGACATCTCTGTGTCCCAGGGGCAGAAATATTCCCAGTGTGTGAAGAGAACTTGGATATAGTGGGTGCCATGCAGATGTCTGTGAAACTGAACCAAAGTGTACAATCATCCCAACTCCTAGGCTGGCGTAGGAGGCAGCTGGCTCCTTTTTCTCAGAAGGAGTCAGAGAACTTGGGGTTCAAATCCCAGGTTAGAACCTCCCAGCCTCTACCACAGAGAGGTGTGAAGACTAGGGAGGCATCTGTGTATGGCAAAGTGCTTGGGAAACTGCCTGTTAACACCAAAGTGAAGAATTATGGCTACATAGACCATGGAAGGCTTGAGAAGAAAACCAGCATGGGCTGGCACCTGCTGAGAGGTGAGGGTGTGTGCACACAGGTTCACAGGCATTTGCCTCCATGTTCATGTGTGTAGCTGTTGGTTCACAGCCATGCACACAGGTTTAGACCTGTAAATACACTTGGCCCCCACCAGCACGCCTTTCTTGCAAACACACACAGCTCCCTGCTATGCCCAAGGAAAATTCCAATGTGGTCCCAGTGGTCATTGTAGGCCTCTCTGTCTTCCTTAAATAGGAAACCTGGCGGAAAAGCAGCACCTTCAGCAGCCCCAGGTCATCACTTCCTATGACAACCAAGGTAAGTGATCGCAGTTAGTCACGACCTCTCCTGTGGCTGTGTACCCAGATCTGCTGCCCCAGCCAGAGACAGCCTGGGCTGTGGAGCTCAGGCTGCAGGGAGCAGGGTCCTCTCTGCCCTGTGGATGTTGGAGCATCTTTTCCTTTCCCTGCATCCTATGGGAAGCAATGAAGCTGCAGGCTCAGTGTCTACCCTATGATGGGATCAAGAAACAAAGTCCTTGGGCCACAGAGCTCACTGCTGTCATCATCTTCACCATCACTGTCTTCACTATAGTTAACATTTATTAAGCAATCCTGTTGGATGAGTACTCTTAGTATCCTCATTTTATAGATGAGTAAGCTGAGGCTTGGAAAGACTGTCTTTCATGTGTCCAAGATCACATGCCCAGCAAGAATCAGAGCTGGGCAGTCTGATCCCCGCCACCCTTCAAGCGCAGCTAGGCTTCAGCTGTTACCCTTCATATGGCTCTGTGCCCACAGCTCCCTGTGCACTGGCCTCCCTGCTGGCTCATCCAAGCTCTCCCTTGTCATGAGTCATAGCAGTTCCTCCCAGGACATTCTACCCAGCATGAGTTTACTGCAGCAAGATGGAGGGAGAGGGCCCTTCCCTAAGAATTCTTGCTTTTCAGGGACAGGCTCTGGGGGCTCGGGAAGGGCAGGCGAGGGCATCAGTGACTTGGTAGTTGAGTGGATTTGAGAACTTGATAGGAAGGGACAGGCAGGCTCCATAGCCATGACTGGAGGTGAGGCCAGGTTAGACCATCTTGGTTAACTGCTCTGCATTAAAGACTGGGGCCTGGTGTCTTAGAGTTCTTACAAGCCCAACCCTAAGTTCACCTTAATTGCTGTTGGTGCTGATGCCCCAACCTGTGAGGACATTGTCTGATCACATTTGGGGGCAGTGGCATCCTCCCCACCTCACGAAGCAGGAGGACCCTGAAAGCCCTGGGAGATGAGCACCGACAGAGAATTGCTCTCCAAAATATGGACTGGCCCAGCATCTCTAGGCACTGATAGATAGTGAAGAAGGGCCTGCCAGCCCAGGTCACCAGCATGAGGGAGCTGTCTCTCCTTGCAGTCAGGGTCAGTATCCATTTAGGTCAGAATTCCTTACAATACAGTTCCAGGACAAGCCTTAGAGCTCACTCTGAGGCCCATTGAGACCTGCTACCTGCCCTGAGCACCACAAGGACAAGCTGAGCCCCCACTGATTGTCTGAAATAGACTCAACTGCACACAGCTCACCACAGAACAAGACTCAGACCATAGAACAAGTCCTTGCTGTGAGAGTAAATGAGTGACCACTTATCTTATTAAGTGAGCAAAACGGACAAAGCCTCCTGTCCTCACAGAGTTGATGTCCTAGTGAGGGAAGACAGACAATCCTAACAAGTAAAATAGAATGAGTCATAATAGGCCGCGGAGGAATAAAGCAGGACGGCTGATGGGGGTGGGGTATACGGGCATGGGGTGGGAAGGGTGTGCAGGGTTATGGATTCATTTCCTGCAGCTGCTATAGCAAATTCCGCAAGTCTGGTGGCTTAAAACAATACAAATTTATTCTCTTTGGTCCAGAAACCTGAAATCAGTTACACTGGGCTAACATCAAAGTGTCAGAGGATTGGCTCCTTCTGGAGGCTCTAGAGGAAAATCCATTTGTCACCTCTTCCTGCCTCTAGAAGCAGCTGGCATTCCTTGGCTTGTGGTTGTGTTCCTACAGTCTCTGTTTCTATTGTCACATTGCCTCTCCACCTTAGAAGTAGTCAAATCTCCCTTTATCTCCCTCTTATAAGAATATATGTGATTGCCTTTAGGGCCCAGCCGCATAACCCAGGATAATCTCCCCATTTTAAGATCCTTAAATTAATCCCATCTGCATGATCCCTTTTGCCATATGAAGCAATGTTCACAGGTTCTGGGGATTTCAACATGGACATCTTTAAAAGCCATTATTCAGTCTACTATAGGCGACATTAAAAATTAGGTGAGACAGGCCTCACTGCAAAGGGGACATTGGAACGAGGATGGAGATGAGGGAGCAAACCATGTGGGCACCTAGGGAAGAGCTTCCAGCAGGGGAAGCAGTGGGTGTGAGGGCTCCAGGGCTCCCAGGCAGCAGAGAGTGTGGCCTGTGTGCAGGGGGCAGGGAGCAGGGCCATGGGGTGGAGAGGGAGGGAAGCAAGGGCAGGCGGGGCAGTAAGGGACAAGTCAGAGGCACCCAGGGTAGTGCTCTCAGGACCTGGGAGTCTACCTCAATGTACTGGCTTCTAATCTGAGTGTGACTGGGCCATTCAGGGGGTCCACCCTTGCAGCCCATGGGCCTGCATGCTGATTTTGTGAGGACGTTTTTGCTTATCTGTGGTGTTAGATATCATGAAAAGTATGAATAGACCCTTTTTTTGCTAATCGGCTCTTGTTAGTGTTTTTGTATTTAATGCATGACCCAAGACAACTCCTGCTCCTTCAACATGCAGTGGAGAAAAATAAAAGGTTGGAGCAAAATGTTTCCCAATGAGCAAATCTGGGCTGAAGAGAAAGAGCAGAGAGAAGCGTGTGTGCCTGGCTCCCAGGCATTCAGGTGTGTGCTGAGCTCACTCAGAGGGTGCAGGCTGTGCGCCCTGCACACATTTCCACCTGTGTTGGTGCTCTACAGAGCTGGGCAGTCCCTGACACCATCCAACTTGCTTGTTTCTGAGATGTCACAACTCACTTAACCGCACCGTGTCTTTGTTGAACACCAGCCAGGGTCTGTTTAAGAATGTTTTTAAAATTATAAATGGCTTAGCTAAGGTTTTCCTGACACTCAGCTACTGCAGGAAAAAATTATAAGGCGAAAAATCTAGGTTGTAAATGTGGCAAACTATTGTAGAAAGTTAACAAGCACCTTAAGCCAGTAATCGCAAGCATCTCCCATGAACTCACGGTCCCTACATACACACATACAGTCATGTACACGTGCACTCACACACACACACAAACCCACCCCTGACCGTCTTTGTTAATTGATCGCTTCAGGCAGCCACTTCCAATCAGTCAGAGTTAATGAACAACACGAGACCTGTTTGCCATCCTGCATTAGGTGTTCTGAGCAAATTAGGCCTTTACATAAATCCTGATTGAAACCTGAAGAAATCTGGAGAGAAGACGTCAGGTAGGGAAATATACTGACTGAGCAAATGGCAGACCCCAGGCAGTGCACAGGGAGACATGCTTGGGCTTGTCTGTGCCCATCTCTGTTTCTGAGAGGGCAGGGACAGCAAGGAGAGATAGTGGGGTCTGGGAAAAGGGCCTGGGAGCCACTTCTTAGGGTTGGCAGAAAATAATCACTGATGCACTTTTACTAAGACGAACAGAGCAGCAGCTCCAGAAATGTGATTTGGTTGTTAACTGGTAGTGCTGGGGAGCGGTCCCTCAGGGAGGCCAGCCAGGTGGCCTGGAGTCCCAAGAAGGGCCACCCTTAAGTTTGGTCGTGATAGCCAATGGTCAAGATTGGTGTAATGGTACCTGGTTGTACTTACGGTTTAGATCTGACTATGAATTTTGCTCTGAATGATATCCCATCTCTGTAATTAGAGACTGGTCATATTAATATGTTTTTTCTTAAATTAAGAGTTTTGTTTGATGCAAGCAGACTCTCCCTCTGCTTCGTGCCTTTAGGAAGCATGAAGCTATATTGTGAATGATGCTCACCTTGACACAATGTGCCCAGCCCAGGCCCAGTATGTCCTTGCACAGCTGTAGGTGAGAGCAGGAACCACACTCCCCCATGCATCAGGGAGGCTGAGAACTTGGCTAATCCCTTTGAAGGAATGCTATCAGCAACACAGCTGTGGGGGAGAGCCAGGAAGTGGGATTCAGGAAAATATTGGACCTTGCCCCTATCCAAGTAGAAAGAGGAATTGCAGAGAGGAGAAACGGAATTAGAAATGGAGATTCCAGGCCAGAGCCATGTTCTGAACATGAGACCACCTCACCAACCCAGGCCTAGAAGGGCTTTCACAACATTTTGTTTTTCAGCTCGATCATTCTTTGACAGAGAGACATGACCCTGGAAGTACCTGGATGTTATGAGAAGTTTGGGAAAGAGGTTTGTTGTTGAACCCTATGCCAACAAGTCATTCACTTGTGCAGCTTCCCTAAGTTTATGCAGATGGTTCCAGTCCAGCATTTTCCAAATTGTGTCTGACAAAACAGTGCTAGGTTGAATAGAGTATTTTTGCTGCAGACCTTCTCAGAGCATTGTGTGACCTACAAGAAAGAAGAGAGTGGGCATGTTTCTCAATTCATTCTTCATAAGGCATCTTGTAGCCAAGTACTACTTGGCACCCACTTTGAAAAACACTTCAGAATGTTTTTCAGGTGGAGAAAGTGAAAAGACAAAGGGGAACAGGCCTCCCAGGCCCAATGCACCACAGGAAGACACACGGGAAGTATTTCCTGATGGGTGGTGATGTCACCCAATCCCACGATCAGAACTGAATTAGGCCTTGAACATCTTAGGTATAGATTTATAGGGTTAATTTTCTCTGACAGAGATTGCACTAGGAACTGGGCTTCAAAATGAATGTCAATGCCTTCAAAGTAAACGCCTGGAGAGGCCATGTTGTATCTTTTTAAATGATTTGAGAATTACCATCTTTGGCACCCAGAGCAAGTTTATGAGGTACACTATTGTTACTCTAGGAAAAATAATTGCAACACATTTAGCAGGCAAAGCCTTAGTAAACAGAGCTCTTTCAAAATCAATAAGGAAAAAATAATAAATCAAAAGGAAAATACCAATTCATGAAATAAGAATTTAACTATAAATATATACAAAGAATGACACTAAAAATTAAAGAAATGTACAAAACAAACGTACAAGGTATCATTACTTATTGATAAAAATTTAAAAGCTAAAATCAAACATCAATAAGTGTATCCATGATCTATTTTTACATTATCAACCACCACAAAACTCAGCAAACTTAATAAGTGTTTGTGGGCTCACAAGTCTGCAGGTCGGCTGGGCGTTCTTTTCATCTGAGCCATAACCAGCTGATCCAGACCTTGGCTGGGCTTGCTTCTGGTGCTTATTGTCTGCTGGTGGGTTGGCTAGAGACCAGCTGGTCTGGGATGGCCTCACAGGGGAGGCCCTGCTCTGCTCCACATGGCCTCTCATCCACAGCCTGGATGCACATGGCAACTGTGGCTGGGATCCCAAGAACAAGGGAAGCTGCAAAGTCTCTTGAGGCCTCGGCTTAGAACTTGTACGTCACTTCTGCTGTGTGTTAATTGGCCAAACCAAGTCCTAAGGCCAGCCCAAACTCAAGGGGTGGAATAAAAGAGCTCTTATTGAGAAGCAGTATAAAGAATTTTGGCCAATTTTTTGATAAAGCACCTCAAGAGTGAGTAAAATGGCCATTCTCTTTCACTGTGGGTAAGATCATAAATAATTGAATCATTTATGAGAAAAGATTGCCAATATATAACAAAAGCCTTAAATATCTCCATGCTCTTTGTTGCATATTCAAGGAACCGAGTTGCGAAGTGTGTAAAGATGCATGTGTCAGAATGCAGATTGCATCATTGTTTCTTAATAGCAAAATGTTTGGGAAAAGTCAAATCTCTAACAAAAAGGAATTGTTTACCTGGATTATAAGTCATCTATAAAATAGAGCGCTATGCAGTCATTTAAAATGATGACATATGGCTATATTCACTTTTATTTTTTATTTTTTGCTCAGCAAGTTTTTTAAAATGATGACATATGGCTATATTCACTTTTTATTTTTTATTTTTTTATATTCACTTTTAACTAAAGATTTAAATGAAGAAACCAGATTACAAAAAGCATGTTTAGGGCGGCGCCTGTGGTTCAGCGTGTAGGGCGCCAGCCCCATATACCGAGGGTGGCAGGTTCAAACCGGCTCTGGCCAAATTGCAACAACAACAACAAAAAAAATAGCAGGCATTGTGGTAGGGCCTGTAGTCCCAGCTACTTGGGAGGTTGAGGCAAGAGAATTGCCTAAGCCCAGGAGCTGGAGGTTGCTATGAGCTGTGATGCCACAGCACTCTACTGAGGGTGATGGAATGAGACTCTGTCTCTACAAAAAAAAAAAGCATGTTTACTATAATCTTGCTTTGGATTTTTAAATGTAGAAATTAAGTCTTAAAAGAATTTTTGCTTTCTACTTTATATCTTTCTGTACCATCCAAGTTTTTGTTTTAATTCTGCTTAGGGTATTTTTGTGTGGTTGCTATCTTTATTTTTACTTTATTTTAAATTAACATACAGTTAAATTGTATTTTCATGGTATGTACTTTTGAGTTGTAACACATGCATAGATGCATGTATTCACCACTGTATCAGGATATAGAGCAGTTGTATTCTTCCCCCCAAATTCTCTTGTGTGTATTCTAAACTTCCTGTCACTCCTCAGCATTCCTTTGTATTGTTTAGAACTATTCCTCCATGTGGATGGTTTTTTATTCATGCATTCATTGAAGGATATTTAGGTCATTTCTGATTTGGGGTGATAATGAATAGAGCTGACATATAAACATTTGTGTATGGGTTTTGCATGAACATAAGTTCTCATTTCTCTGAGATAAATGCCCAAGAGTACAATTTTTAGGTTGTATGCTAAATACATGTTTTGTTGTATAAGAAATTGCCAAACTGTTTTGCAGAGTGACTGTTCTATTTTACAATCCCACCAGCAATATATGAGACCCAGTTTCTCTGCATCCTTGTTAGCATATGATATTGTCACCATTTTTAAATTACAGTCATCCCTTTGTATGTGTGTATGTGGGGGATCGGTTCCAGGACTACCCACGTATAACCAAATCCACACATACTCAAGTCTGCACAGTCAATCCACCCTGCTCTGCAGAAACGAAAAGTTGGCCCTTTGTACATGCAGGTTTTGCATCCCACAAACACTGGACTCTGAAAAGAAGCCGTGTGTAAGTGGACCCATGCAGTTCAAACCTGTGTTATTCAAGGCTCAACTGTATATTATTGGTTTTCTAATCAATGTGATATCTCATGGTTTTATGAGAATTTGCCTTTTCCTAATAGCTGATGAGGTGCAACATCTTTTCAGGTGCTTATTTTCCATCTATAATCTCTTTTATGGTAAAATATCTGTTCTTTTGCCCTTTTTCAAATTGGATTTCCTTCGCACTTTTGTAAAAAATAATTTTGCCATATTTGCCTCAGCCTATTCTTGACTATTCCATTCTACTGATCTATCCTTTTGCCAATATCAAACTGTAGCTTTATTAACACAGTTTATTAAAATCAGATCGTGTGAATCTTTTTTTTTTTTCAAAATTGGTTGGGTTATTCTAGTTTCTTTGCATCCAAATTTTAGAATCACCTTGTCTATCTCTACAAAATTCCTCCCTGGAATTTGATTGAAGTTGCATTAAATCTGTAGATTCATTAAGAGAATTACCAACTTGACAATATTGAGTTTTCTGATTCATAAATATGGGATGTCTCCCTATTTATTTAAGTCCTCTTTAATTTGTTTAATGTTCCATAGTTTTCAGCATACAATTCTGCACTTGTTTCTTGGGGTTTGTTGACTTTTTTTTCTCTCTGTTGCCCAGGTGGCAGTGGAGTACAGTGGCCTAATCATAGTTCACTGTAACCTCGAACTCCTGGGCTCAATAGATTCTCCCACCTTAGCCTCCCAAGTAGTTGGGACTACAGGTATACACCACCATGCCTATATTTTAGAGACAGATTCTCATTACATTTCCCAGAATGATTTCGAACTCCTGACCTGAAGAGATCCTCCCACCTTGATCTCCCAAACTTCTGCAATTACTGGCATGAGCCACTGCTGGATTTTTTGTTTTTTGGTGTTTAATTTACACCTAAGTATTTCAATTTTGGGAGCTAAGGGAAATGATTGTTTGTAAATTTGAATTTTAATTGCTTATTGCCAATATAGAGAAATAAAATTGATTTTTGTGTGATAATTTTGTACGTTGTAACCATGCTAAACTCACTTATTAGTTCTAGGCTCTTTTTCTTATAGATTAGTTGGGATTTCCTATGTAAACAGACATATCATCTAGGAATAAGGATGGTTTTATTTCTTCCATTCCAATCTGTATGACTCTTATTTCTTTTTCTTGTCTTATTGCACTGGGTAGGACTTCTAGTACATTGTGATTAGGAGCAGTGAAAGTGAACATCATGACTTGTTCCCAATGGTATGTAGTTATCATTAACCATTTTCCAACATTAAATATGTTGTTATGAACTACTGTATGCTTTTTGCAGATGCCCTTTTTCAGATTGAGAAAGTTCTATCCTATTCCTAGTTTGTCGTGGTGTTTTATCATGAATTAGTATTAAATTTTGTCAAATGCTTTTTCTATACCAATAGATATCATGTCACAGTTTTTCTTCTTTGGCCTGTTGATATGGTGAATTACATTCACTGATTTTCAAATACTAAACCAGTTCTGCATTTCCAAGATAAACCACTCATGATTATAGTTTATTATTCTTTTACTATATTGCTGCATTTAATTTTAAAATATTTTCTTGAACATTTTTATGTTTATGTTCAGGAAATTGATCTGTAGTGTTCTTTCCTTGTCTTTATCTGGTTTTAGTATCAGCTTAATTCTAGCCTCTTAAAATGAGTTGTTAAGTGTTCACTACTCTTCTGTTTTCTGAATGATCTTATAAAGAAGTCTTTCTTTTTTTGTTTAATGTTTGTTTGAATTTACCACTGAAACCATCTGGACCTGGCTTTTTTTTTTTTTTTTTTGAGGTTTTTAAACTACAAGTTTAATTTTAAAAATAGATATGGGAATGTTTAGATTATCTTCTTGCATGAGTGTTTATGGCAGTTTGTGAATTTTAAGGACTTGGTCTATTTCATCTAAGCTATAGAATTTGTGCACATAGAGTTTTTTATAGTATCCCTTTATTATTATTTCAGTATATGTGAGCATCCACAATGGTAGCCTCCATTTCATTCCTGATGTCCATGTCTTGACTCCTACTTTGTGTCTTACCTCTTTTTTTCTTGGTGACTATAACTAGAGGTTTATCAATTTTATTGCTTTTTAATTCTTTTAAAAGAATCAGCTTTTGGTTTCATTTATTCTTCTCTGTTGTTATCATTTTTCATTTCACTAATTTATTCTACTATTTTTATCATTTCCTTCCTTTGCTTGCCTTGGATTTCATTTGCTATTATTTCTCTACTTTCATAAAGTATAAGTTTAGGCTGGGTGTGGTGGCTCATGCCTGTAATCCTAGCACTCTGAGAGGCAAAGGCAAGTGGATTGCTTGAACTCATGAGTTCAAAACCAGCCTGAGCAAAAAAGCTAGACCCCTGTCTCTACTAAAAATAGAAAAACTGAGACAAGAGGATCACTTGAGCCCAAGAGTTGGAGGTTGCTATAAGCTATGATGCCACAGCCCTCTACCCAG